GTAGACAGGTTGCTGAATGACTTTTGCTTCTTCTTCTTTTTCCTAGACAAGTACCCTGCTGACTGCATGGTCGAAGGCTGCAACGTACAACAGTAGTGGTGCCTCCAGATCTGGTACTGTGACCAAGAGTTTGCTGGCCATATAGCTTTTGAGCTATTGGAAAGCCTTCGACTGCTCTGGTCCCCATTCCACCTTGTCTCCACCTCTTAGAGCTTTGAAGAATGGAAAGCTACGCTCTACTAATTTGAGATGAACCTATTTAATGCTGCTATCCTTCCAGTGAGCTTTTGGATGTCCTTTTTGGTTGATGGTTCTACCATTAAGATTATTGTCTTCGTCTTTTCTGGGTTTGCCCTTATGCCTTTGGGTCCTATGATGTACCTGAGCATCTTTCCTCTGCTGACGCCAAAGACACACTTCTCTGGGTCTAATTTGAGCCCCGCTGCCCTGAGATTCATGAAGGTTTCTTTGAGGTCTGCAATATGGTCTTCTTCATTCTTGCTCATTACTACGATGTCATCAACATAAGCTATTATATTTTTCTGCAGCTATGGGCCAAGAACTGCCTTGGTCATTCTAGCGAAGGTTGAACCTGTGTTCTTGAGCCCTTCAGGCATTTTGACGTAACAATATGTTCCGAAGGGAGTAGTGAAACTTATCTTTTCCTCGTGTTCTTCATTGAGCCAGATCTGGTGATATCCTAAAAAATAGTCTAGTAGCGAAAAACGTTTGCAGCCTGCCGCTTTATCGACGGAGGTATCTATTCTCGGTAGTGTAAATGGATCTTTCTTGTAGGCTTTATTTAGATCTGTGAAATCTATGCACATCCTCATCTTGCCATTTTTCTTTGGCACCAGCACTACATTTGCCAGCGACTCTGAGTACTTGACTTCTCTGATGACATTTGCATCTAGCAATCTTTGCACTTCTGCCTTTGCAGCTAGGATTCTATCTTCTGACATTTTCCTTTGTCTCTGCTTTCTTGGTTTCATCTTTGGGTTGATATCAAGTGAGTGTTGTATGATGTCTCTGCTGATTCCTTTCAGATTAGAGGCTAACCAAGCGAAGATATCTTTGTTCTTAGCTAGAATATGTTTGAGCTCTGCCTCTTCTTCTTTTGACAAGTTGCCTCCGATGATGACTTTTCTGTCTAGTACTATGTTTTCTAGCGGGACTGACTTGGTTTCTTCTTGATATCTGAGATCCATTTTACCCTTCGGCATATCCGGAGGCTCTGGCATGTTGTTCTTTGCTGATTTGACAGAGTTAATGTTGCGCTGTGATTTGTAGATGGCTCTCTCTATGTTTCTTGCCTCTTTCTTACTGCCGTGGACTGTGATGACGCCATGTAGAGCTGGCATTTTGATACACAAGTAGCTCATGTGGATGGCTGCATTGAACTTATTTGCAAACCCTCTGCCGAAGATGGCGTTATACGGGTAGTAGAGGTCTACTATGCCAAAGGTCACATACTCTGTTCTTGCATTTTTCTAGCCTCCGAAGGACACTGGCAGAGAGATTTTTCCTAATGCATCAATTTTCTTTCCTCCAAAACTGATTAGTGGAGAGTCCGAAGGTTGTAATTGGTTTCTGCTCAACTTCATCTGGTCGAAGGCGTTAGCGAAGATGATATTAGCAGAGCTTCCAGAATCTATTAGAACCCTGTTGATTTCCTAGCCTGCTATGTTGGCCTTGATCACCATGGCATCAGCATGGGGGTAGCTTTCTAATTGGAGGTCTTGCTCTGAGAACGTAATGGGTGTCTTCGACCAATCTGTGTAGCGTACTAGACCCTGAACCGCTATGTTGTTGACAAGCCTAAGATGATCTTTCTTCTGCTTCTTTGTCTGGAGCTCCATTGAAGAGCCTCCGGCTACTGGCAGTATCATGCCAATGGTGGGTAGCGGTGTATGTGGGTTGAGATGGTTTTCTAGGTTGGGCTCGTTTTTGGGCGCGGCTAGTTGTGGTGGGGGTGGTGGCGGAGGTAGTGCTTCAAGTTGTCTATTGTGAGCTTGAGCTGGCAGGTTTGACTCTATGAATGTTATGTATGGAGGCCTTGGGTTTATATAGGTGAGGTTGGCTTTTGCGCACTAGTTATAGGACTGCCCTTGCTGCTGGGTGTTTGGTCACCATGCGGGTAAGAAGTTAGGGTAGTATGCGGCTGCTAGAGTATATGGGTGGATTTGATTGGAGTTAAGACTTGGGTAGATTGGGCAGTATGGCTACTGAGGGGGTGCGGTGAAGGTATGGTTGACTTCTCTTGTGGGTTGTTGTGGCAAAGGCTGTGGGTTTGCTCTGTTCTTTATCCTCTCTTGAATTTCCTTCGCATCTGGGCAATCTCTGGTGATGTGCCATTTGTTCTCTCCATGAAAGAAACAATACTACCTTCGCTGTCTTTGGTCCTGGTTCTTGTTCCACTTCTTCACTTGATTGTATTTCTTGCCTTCGTATTGCCTCTGAGGTGCTTTGTTTGGGACTGCCTCCGGCATCTGCTACCCTTGTTGGCTACTCCCTTGCTGCTCTATATTGAAAACTTGTTGATCTCACGCTTGCTGAGGCTGTGACTGACCTTGGTTTCTATTGCTCCTTTGAGTTTTCATGTTGCTCCCTTGGTATTGCTTGTTCTATTTTGCTCCTCTAGCCTTCTGCGAAGGTCATTGTCGGACCTACAATATTTCTCAGACTCATTGTACAGCTCCTCTATTGTGCTTGGCTTTTCCCAAGCTAGATGAGTTGCGAAGGCTCCAATGCGGAGACCTTTGATTGCGGCTTCAATTGTTGAATCTTCTAGGACATTTGGTGCCTTCGCTTTCAGCTGCACGAATCTCTGAAAATAGTCCCTTAGGGCCTCGCCTTGATTTTGCTTGCACTGGAACAAATCCATCGAGGTCAGGGAATTAGTGGTAAACCCTTTGAAATTGGCTATGATTTTGTCACGGAGGCCTTCCCAAGAATATACCGAACTTGGCCTCAACATAGAATACCATGCCAATGCATCACCTTCGGCTACAATAACGAATGATTTGGCCAGGACATTGTCATTTCCGTTCGTGGAGGCTACAACTGCCTCGAAGCTCTTGATGAACTGTCGCGGATCTGACTTTCCGTTGAATTTGGGTAGGGTGATGGGCTTGTAGGAGGAGGGCCAAGATGAGCTTTGGATTCCTTCGGATAATGGAGATTTTGTGTCTATAGCTCTGTGGACTGTTGGTAGAGCGTAAGGTGTGCCGAAGGTTAGCTGGGCGGCCATGCCTAGCGAAGGGGTTGGCTTTGATTTGCTGAGTGGCGCTGGTTGGGTGTAATGGAAACAGGCTGGCTAGGCTGCATGCTTTGTATCTCCGCCTGCAACACGGCCAACTGCTACCTGATCTCTGCTGCCTGAAGGGACGCCGGAACTGCTCTTTGGCTTGCGGCGAAGGTTGCAGCTAATCTATCTCTTTCTTGCTGTGTACTCTGCAACTGGGCTTAAAGTTGTTGAAGCACTTGCTCTAGGGTGGGGTTTAGGGCTGGTTGCTCTTCGCCCGCCATAGGCTGCTCCTCTATTAGCGGCTCTTCTGTGTCTTGATTTTCGGGAGCGCTGGCGTAGGTGCTGCGGGCGCTACGCCTGGACCTTCCCCTTGTAGTAGGCTCCGCTGATGCCCTGGCAGAGGCTGCTCTTTTTCTGGCCATTGTGGGATTTGCTTGGCCAACACACGGTGGGTGCCAATGTTGGGAAACAGGTTCCCAGCAGGATGGAGGAGCGAAGGTGATCGGACAGGTGGGTCCGGACACAATTAGGGTTTTATAAATGTATTCACCAACCTCCACTTACATAGGATCCGGCTCCCCCTTTTATAGGGCACCATACACAGGGGTACTACTTTACATCTTTGCCCTTTGACAGCTAGGGCATATTCTCATGGATATTCCTATACAAGCATAAGCTACTAGGGGCATCTCCAGCTTTCTCTGTCCCAACCGCCTTTGCTTCCTGGGCCTTAGCCCCTGGCCCGCCAGCGGCCCATCTGCGCCGCAAGGGTCCCCTTGGTCGCACGGAGGCTCCAGCGTTCCTGTCACAGCCTCCGTCCTGAACGCTTACGCCTCTGTTTGGGCCTTCGTCCTCGACGCCTGCCCTCCACGCCATTCTTGGTCGCAGCCCGCAGCTTCCTGTGGCCTCCGCCTTCGCCTCCGTACCTTCGCCAGGCCGGGGGTGTAGGCGAAGACTATTTTCCGTGATGCTTGTAAATCATTACTTTCATAGCTTGGTTAGTGTTTTCGGTCAGATCGTAAGTTTGCCTCCACAACTCAGATATTTGTTTCCCAACATATGTGTTTTCTAAGAACAAAGATAAATCGTTGTTCCGCTGGTAGGCAATATGACCATAAAAAATGAGGTGTTTGGGGAAGCTTCAACAATATCGGGTTCTGCAGGTTGAAGTCTTAGTCTTTTGAAGGTGCTCATTAGAGTTGAGTGTGTGCGTACGTTCATAACGATGAATATTCTACGTAAGAATATTTATATCTGTGATGTGATTTTGTAAAAATATAAATAAACAGTTGCATATCCCACGAAAACATCCGAACTCAAATAAAATCCAAGAGTACATGTACATGGATAATGGTCCAAGGTCAGGAGATGATTGTCAAGCTGGTAAAATCAAAAAAGGAATCCCCTTTTTCTTACACGTGACTTGCATGCATCTTTCCGCCGCTATCCTTCCTTACCACATCTCGACACGGATGAGGATCCTGTGATCTCACGGAGCTGCGCACACACTCTCACGAGGTATTGGTTACCAAGCAAGTACCCCAAATATCTAGTATTATATTCCTCACGAATCACACGTGATTTAAGCGCATGTCTCTCTATCCTTGTATCCACATCGATAGGACAGGCCATGATTATGTATAAATTAAAGACAGGATAAAGATCGAGTCCCAAATCGTAGAAGCACAAGCACCAACGCACTCTGAATACTACATACATATACATAAAACGAAGTAGAAGAGGAGCAACAGTAATGTTGTCATCAGTGCCCATTTGTGCTGCTCTCCGGTCCAAAAGCAACGGCAAGTACCTGCGCTACTCTGCGAACGACGGCAACGACGCGGCCAACAGCCAGCTCCTTCGGCTCATCGGCGACGACGCTGAGAGCCCGCTCTCGAGGTTCTACGTCGAGCCGTCGTCCAAGAATGACGGGCTTGTTCATATCAGGTGCAGCTACAACAACAAATACTGGGTCGCCCAGCAGGGGCATGCTGACGAATGGAGGATCGCCGGCAGCGCCGACACGCCAGAGGAGGACCTGTCCCAGCAGTCATGCACGCTGTTCCAGCTCAAGCATGTCAAAGGCGATCTCAGAACCACCAGGTTTTCTTTCTTTATCAGCACTTCTTCTCAACAAGGTTGCGTTCTGCCACTACTTTTTAATAGAAGGGGTTACCAATGGATATTTGGAAACGAGTAAAATGCATAGTCGGTTCTCAAACTTATTTGGATCTTTCATGTCGGTCGTCATACTAATAAGTACATTATTTTGGTCCTTAAATTTGTTGAAGTGTGTCTTGCTGGTCCTCTACTCAAAAATTGCAAACGGAAATCAAGGACTGAAATGATGCAATTGCAATTTGTGAGCATAAGGTCCATCATGACACTCCTCGACAAGTTTCAAGATTGGTCATGGACTTTACTCTTAAAAATTAATTATGAAACTATCAAATATATGAACCTTGATCACAAGGGACTTACATATATATGGTTGAAATGAGGCCCCGCTAATACTTAAATATCTCCCTTGGACTAAATAGCCAACATGAGACAGGTATCCTACGGAATCTGGACAAGACTACATAGAGAAAATATCTGTTCTCTTGTACTATACTAACCGCTACGAGAAGACGAAACACTGAGAACGACACTTTTGCTGATCCAGCTCAACTTGCTTCAATTTTATTTATCATTTCTCCTATATTTCAGGTGCCTAAATTTTATCCGGCAATACTCCTGTACCACCAACTAGTACAAGTAAATTGTTATTTTTTTGTAATCTGTTATTTGTCTTTGTGCAAACTTATTAAAAATAACAACTTACAAAATTCATTTTCATGGAGTATTGATATAATTTAAATTGAGTTGTCAATGTCATTGATATTGATATGTAGTTTATGAAGGAAATGTTTTCACGCATGAAAAACTATTAATATAAGTATTTATCCTAATGTATACATATTTCATTTACTTGGTCTCATGGGGCAACGTAGCACTGTGTGTACTTTTAACTTAAGTATCAAGCTATTATGGAAAATAATTGGATAGCCATAAAGTATGTGATATATTTCTAAATTATGTATTTCTGCCACTATTGAGTTAAAAGTAACAACTTACAAACTTAGAGGTTACTTTACATTATCGTTCATAATTGCATATATAAGTAGGTATTTTTTATACAAAATTAGGGGGTTATTTTAAATTTATTTTTATAATGGCAAAAGTGGGTAATGTTGATGCAAATTTAGGTGTCATTTTGAGTTACATTTCAAAATGATGGAGGTGGGTAATTTTTTATAAAACAAAACAGATCCAATGATTATTGTTAGTGATGATGATTAGATTCTACCAATAAAGCGGCCAAATGATTTTGATTCCTGTGATAATTTTGGATTCATTTTTTTCTAGCACATCTTATGAGGATCAACATGGAGACTCCATTGGGGAGCCTCTGATCCTGGATTAATTGAATATGTGCCATTCAATTTCAATACAACAAAATTTGAGGCTAAGATCTTTTGCATTCATAATTAAAAGTAATCCATGCATTTAAAAAAATGTTTGCAGCAATATTTGATTAGTCCCGGTGCACTGTTATATTGGGCGTCGCTGTGAAATAAATTTATTCATAGTTGCCATGATGTTTAAGAAACAAATTTTATACTTTCCCTCCCTCGTCTAATTAACCATTTTTGCAGAAATATTTTCACTTTGTGATTGTATTGTATGATATAGGTTCTTTCATGCTCGGCTGAGGAAATATGCTGGCATTTTTTCCTCTGACTCGAAATGGGCAAACGAGAGCAACCAAGACTTCTTGTGCATGGGAGACGAAGAACAATCTGAACAATTTGTTCTTGAGCTGTTCCAATGGATGTTGCCCAAATATGTGTGCTTCAAGGGTGATAATGGCAAGTACCTCAGCGCACAGTCACTACACAACAAACCATTTCTGGTCTTTGAATCCGAGGATATCAATGATCCAACCGTGAGGCACACTACCACGGCCAGTAGAGATGGTACCATAAGGATAAAATCTGATCACTTCGGACGGTTCTGGAGGAACTCTGGCAGCAGCGGCACAGGGTCATGGATACATGCAGACTCCACCGACGACACCAGCAACAACGACGACCCCAACACACTGTTCCAAGCGTTTTATACCGGTGGAGCAATTGGGATTCTGAACCAAGGAAGCAACCAGTACTGCAAGAGGCTAACGACGAAAAACGTGGAGCACGGCCTCTCTGCTACCGGAACTCGGTTTGAGGCGTGGTCCAGACTGCAGTTCGAAGAGCCTGTCGTATCCCGGGAGATCGACCACGTCCATTTCAAGGACGTGCAGGCGGTGATCGTCGGCGACGACAGGTACACTGCTCTCGCGACGGCGTCGGTCACCAACACCACCTCGTCGACCATGCCCGCCGTGAAGCTCGCCTTGGATTACACGCTGGAGGAGACGTGGGGATGGTACTCCACGGTGACGCTCAAGTCGCCAGTCCGGACCTCCATCACCTCGCCGTTCGTGTACGTGCAGTACGGCTTCCTGGCGATGTCGCCGCGGTTCTTCCACGGGCTCATCAGCTGGGGAGCCGACCACAAGAAGCACTCCAAGGTGAGTGAAGAGTACGTCGTTGACGTGCCGCCGATGACTAAGGTGACAGTAACCTGCCAGGGAGTAGCGGCCAGCTTTGAGGTGCCCTTCTCGTACCGGCAGACTGACAAACTGATAGACGGAGAGGTGGTCACCCTTCAATACGATGATGGCAACTTCTCCGGTCGGAATGTCCACAGTATCTATTACGTGACCAGAGAAGAAAAGATTGGTCAGTAAGCCATATATTATTATATTATATTGGCAGTTAATTTGAGCGAATGAACCGTGTATATTATATGTAACGTGTGTATCAGGAAAATAAACTGTTGTCAAGCATAAATGTAACATGAATGACTATGATATATATGTGTGTACGTATGTGACTGTAAGTATATGCCTAAATTTGTATATCCATATGAGGTATCAAAGCAATAAGAACTAAAGGCCTTGTTTGTTTGAACTTATCCACCTGTATTATTAGCGAAACGAACGGGGCTAATGATATATACAGATGGGCTGTCATCCACCCTTTTTCTAGAAAAGTGGTAGCCCCTGCTTTATACAAAGCAAAATTTACGATGGTCATCCATTGAACGAGATCGGACAGTGAAAAAATAGGAGGTAGGTAGCCAACTGAAATTATCTGAAGGTACCAAATAGGTGGGGATAATACCAAATTAGGTGGGCCAGTACCAAAATTTGTGGGACAAAATCTATTTTCCATTTTATATTTTATTTTCGAATAAGAGTAAATCAGTCATTTTAGTACCGTCATTGAAGGGCAAAAATATGATTTCTCATGCCATCTATGTCTGAATCTGAAACAATGCCGTGACCGGTTGGCTCCCATCTCAGTCTCCCTTCCTCTCGGCAACTTCGGGCCGTCAGGAAATTGGATCCAATGGTCTCCGTCGTCGCCGCCGGTGTCGACCTCACCAACGGGAGGAACGTCAACGTCTGGATCTTGGCTCCTGCGTCGGGCGCTGCAGCGGAGAATGCCTCCGTGGCAGCGGAGGCCTCGAGTCGTTTCCATGGAATGCTTTGCCTAGTGTTTGTTTGGTTCACCTCATTCTTCTCTCTGGCTCGGACACTGTCACGAGAGCACGCCGATTCTCTCTCTTCTTGCAATTTGCTTCTAATCATTGTTCCACCTACTGAAGCTGAACTTGCATTTCCGAATGTCCTATCTCAACAGAGGTCGAGCAGAGCACGGTTGCTGGGTTGAAAAAGGGAAGAATTACGTATTTGGCACCGAAACAGATTAGTCTTTTATATTTAGCACTAAAAATTTTGAACTTTCTTATTTGACACGAAGTTGAAATTTCCTTCTCTAGATAGCACTATCGTCCATTTGGGCTAGTAACGACGTCAAGTAGTTAATAAAATGATATGAATGTCCTTCTTTGTAGCAGAAATACATTTTGCCAAATAGAAAAATAATAGATGAACAGGTTGTCAAATAAAAAAATTATAAATATCACAAATATATTGTGAACTAAAACATGGGATTTTGATAATCGAAGTCTGCAAATAAATAAATAATGAATTTCAAATTCTAAGGCAAGAGCAGGTCCCGCTGGGGTAAGCTTAGCACGGGAGGGATTTGCCCTATTTAGTTAGCTTGGTCAGAAATTGTTTGATGCTATTTAGCAGCTCGTTCATCTCAGTTTGGTCAGTCCTATATTCTTGTTAGATCATCGTAAGACATGAAGACAACAACAAACAGATATTTCTCTACAAATGCTTAGAATAGTACAGGTTTGAGCATCTGGTGTTACAGCTAGCCAATCATCTAGAGTTCTCCACAATTGAACATCAGAAGCATACAATTACTCATATTTCTCGCTCAATCACCGAAACTACGAATTACTCCCTCTGTCTCTAAATGTTTATCGTCATGATTTGCGTGTCGATAACTTTGACTCAATTTATAGAAAATACATATAATATTTCTATCACCAAATATATTTATTAAAAAACTAAATTTAAATATTTATCCAATGATATTAATTATGTATCATAACTATTAATATTTTTAATATATATTTAGTCAAAGTTATTTTTCGGGAAGCGAAAATGACGAACATTTAGGGACGGAGGGAGTATTCAATAAAGAACTTCGCTGGGGCACTGCTTGTCTTCCCAAGTTTTTGGATATGTAGCCGGGGTTAGCACAAAAAAAGCATTGCAAGTCTCAGAAATAACAAGTGCAAGAAAACTCTATCCCGTTCCAGATCCAAGAATATGCCCCCACAATCCTTCTGATCTGGCCTGGGAAGGCTGCCCTGTGGCCTGTGCGCCGGGAGCCATCGCCTCTGCCACGCTGCTGGCTGGCCAGAGGGGTCGCGCCGCCTCCGCCACGCCGTGGGCTGACCGGAGCATCAGCCCCGCCACCGCGACCGCGCCACGGCCGGGCTCCGCCAGGTGAGGTCGCCCCGCCAGAGGGCACGACCAGCTGGTGCTGGGCGTCGTCGGCCGCAACATCCTCTGCTCTATCATCCTCTCCTTCCATCAATCTAGGGTTTGGTGTTTTTTTAGGAAGAAGGTCACGGACTCACGGGAGACAGGAGCGCTCGGCTGCTCGGGAAGTCCAGGGAGAAATTGGATGCGTGAGTAACAGAGGGTATGTGTGGCAGAACCGCCTAATCTAATGCCTCTCAGGAGTACTTGTCTTCCATTAGACACTAAGTACTCAAGGGAGAATACTAAATTACATAGTTCTGTCGGGCACACCCCAGGGGAGAACCCGAAAATCCATATTTTTCCCATCAGGATCACAAATGAGAGAATAAAGCTTACAACATTTTAACCATTTCTTACATCACTTTTCATGTAACATCAGAGTATAATATTTATTGTTGATAATAGCAGAATATGATCATGTTATCAGAGTTATGAACAATTTAATTTGACAGCGGAATATAAACATGTGATCAGAATTACAGCGAAAATAATTATCTATTCATGACATAATAAAATATTGATATATAAACTATGACAACAGATTATAACACTTCTATTTATAAAAACATTTTGTGAGAGTTATAAATAAAGACTATAATTGCAGCGTAAAGAAAATCCTCTCGAAGCCCACCAGGAGGAATCCACACACAAAGGTTAGCTCTAGCATCCACCTGTCACCTGTAACAGGGGAAAATAAAACCCTGAGTACTTAATTGTACTCAGTAAGACTTATTCGATAGGAGAAAAGAAAGAGACTCTAAGGATATGCAAGGCTATCTGGCTTGTGGGTTTATTGCATCTACAGGAAGCATCACTAAGCGTGCGTCCTTATATTCAATTTTATTAGCAGTCAGCATTAGTTCATTAACTAACCATTGTATGTAAGCACCTATGCTACTTTCAAGCAGGTGGTAAGCAATCAAAATCATTTTTACCATCTTTTATCTTTCAGTTCTTACTACGTTGCTAGACTGTAGACAAGTCGTACCAGATTGTCCAGCGATTCATGAATCAATGTGCCAAGCTGGGTATCTCGAAATACACGCCCCGCTTATACCCCAGGCACAAGCAGGACCAACCCACTACCCTCCTATCACGAGGCCCAGGTCTCCGTCCAAACTAGGACTCCAAGTCCTCGCCCCTGAGTCTCAGACTTAGTGCGGTGCAAGGACCTCCACCCAAAAACCACCCTGACAGTCGGTCCAGAAAGAGTCGGAACCCATGACAAGAGAGTAACTAGTTTTCCCTACGCCCATATCCAAGTATGTGCTCAGGATAATAAGTCTGTGACCTGCCTAGAACCCAATGCAACGGTCGGTCCCTAACCAACACAGACAGGGAAAATAGTGTAACCAAGCTATGCCCCGTTGGCCGCAGAACACAACCTCTTACACCCACCAATACCCAAACCATATCCCTGCCCGGTCTTTATTTTTTCTTTTACCATTTATATATTCCAAGTGATAATAATACAGTAATATATTTTCTATCTCTTGCGAGTGACAGGCAATCACTCGACTTCTATCGGAGTCCTGTAGCATAGCAATCTACATGATCCTGTAGTACTAGTAAGACTCATAGGATAAAGATATATCTATGCAAGTGGGTTTCATTCAACTCCTTAAATATTAATGCACAAATATAATTTAAAGTGTAGAAAAGTAGGGGTTATGCATCGGGGCTTGTCTGGGTAAAATATACCAAAAGTTAGCATTCCATCTTTGTGTCCTGATCTCTAGCACCATTTTTTCAGCTACTCCAGTTGATACCATCGATCCACCGTCGTTCCTATTATGATATGCAATGAGATGCAGAGATGATGCAACAGTTAATTAACCAGGCAACAACAACTTTTAAAACAGAGTACCTACTACGAACTAACAAGCTAGCTCTAATGACTAACGTACTAATCTACGTATCAACATCGTCAAGAAAAGTGTCATCTTCCAACAAGTGTTTTAGTTATACAATTCCAAAGTGTTTCTTTATTTTATTCTATCGATTTAATCATTATTCGAAATAGGTCATCATTATGTATCTAACAAACTAATTATTCTAGAGCTACAAAATTTACAGTGAGCAGCTAATAATATTAGTAATTTACTGTAAAATTTTTAGAGTCAACACTATCACCGATTTATCATGAAAATTCCTACAAGTTCATCTTTTAACAATATTAAGCATGTTAAAATAATTAGAGCAACCCTAAAAACATACCGAATCTATGTGAACAAAATACACTAATAGATAGATCATGATTTTAGAAGCACAACAAAATTAGTTTCGCAATTTTTTGACAATTACATAAATTTATATTGATTTTACATGTTTATTTCTACAACTAAATTAACAATTACTTTAGAAAACTAAAAGGGCCAGCGGCCACCAAATCGGCCCACGCGGGCGCGCAGCCCAGGCGCACAGCGCGCGCACGCGGCCTAGGCGTGGGCGTGAGCGGCAACCCAACAGCGCGACTCGCCCCCAGGCACACGTGCGGCCTAGGCGGCAAGCGGACCGCAGCCCAGCGCGAGAAGGACGGCCCACGCGCGGACGAGCGCGGCCCAACAAGCCGGCCTAGGCGCGACGGCAGTAGACCGACCCAGCACGGCCTGCCCAAACAGACCTGGTGAATATGCAAAAAGGACCCTACGCTTTTCCTTATTTAACTCGAGGTAAACAACACTATGTGATACTATTCATACGAGTCTCGTGTTTTGCATTCGAAACCCTGAAACATTCTCTATTTTGATTTCTCACCTTCTTCCCTCCTCAAAAGCAGAGCACGACCGGGGAACCAATCCGCCGGCCAAAGGAGCGGCTCGCCGGCGGCGGTGCTGTCGCAGGACGGCGCGTGGGGGCATCAGCGGCTCCGCCCGCACCCGAGGACGACAACAGCACGGCCGGCAGGACCGGTGGAGCACCCGCCACGCGCGCACACGGACAGCCACGGGGCGACGGCGGTGGTTGCCTCGCTAGCGCTAGGCAGTAGGCGGTGGCGCAGCCACGACGAAGATGCGGCGCGGGACACGGACATGCTTGCGCTTGCGATGGCCGGCGACGGGAGCGACCGTAGGACAACACGAGCTCGGGTGCGCTCACGAGGGAGAGGCCGGCAACTACGGCGCGCCGTGGCGCTGCGGGCAAGCCGGGAGGGAGGGCAGAACAGGCGCGCAAGAGGAAGAGCGAAGAGCCACGCGCGGGCTCAGGCGCGCTTGCGCGTGTAGTGGCCGGGCAGCGGCGTTGGTGGTCTCAGCCCTGGGCGGGTGCTGCAGGGTAGCGGCATGGCGTGCGCCGACTCGTCTGAGGCCTGCAGCGAGAGACGAGCTGGGGGAAGAGCAGGAGCTAGGGCTGTGGTCCAGCGCGGCCGTGGAGCTTGTGCGCTCGCGCGCATACGTGAAGGTCGGGCGACGGTGACGCTGACGGCGTGTGCAACAAGGATGAGCTATGTTGCTTGCGTGCGTGCTTTGCTCTGGTGGTAATGGCTCTGAGCTGCTTGTCTGGTAGAGGGAAAAGGGGAGCAGAGACAAGCAGAGGAAGACAAGGATGAGCAGAGGCCTTGATGGTGCTGCAGGGTGAAGCGGTTGAACTGGCAGTTGGACGGTGGCGCTCAGCGATGACGGCAGCAACTGAGGCTTGCCCATGCTGCGATGGCGTGCTACCGATAGGGTGCTCCCGCTGAGCGCTGCTAGTACTATGACCTACTAATGGTGCATGTATATTTGCTCTATGCGCTGGTGGCTTCGGCAGCTTGGTGAGTACTTG